ACGGGGAGCTGCTCCCCCATCTGTCATCCATCCAGACCCCTCATACCCAGGACCCTCCTGCAGAGCCTCATCCACCCCCCGCATCCAGAACCCCCCTGATGAGCCCCATTCACCCTGGACCACCCCGATGAGCCACCCACACCCGGATCTCCACCCCACTGTGCCCCAACCAGCTGCACCTGGATTGCTACTCCCCCAGCATCCTACCCTACCTTGACCTGGAACCCCCTGCAGCGTTCCATTACCGTTGCATCCAGAACCCCCTAGCAAGCCCCTTTGCATCCAGATCTCCCCTGCACCCAGATCCCCTGCTGAGCCGCCCAAACCTAGATGGTCCCACACAGAACCCACCCCCACCACACACACACACCTGGCTCCTCCCCGCCCCCCCACTAAGCCCCGCCACCCCTGCTGGGCTGAGCCTGCCTGCCCATACCTGGTGCACCTAATGCAGAGGGGCAGGCCTGGTCCTTGCGCTGCGTCGGGGTTGGATGCTGAGTCCATGTCCCTGGGGAAGCTGTAGAGTGATCTCCCACCTCTGTGCAGCCAGTCGCCTGTGCTCCCCCATGCCATGCTGGAGCCTCCACATTTATTTGACAAATAAAATTTGCAGAATTTTAAAATATTGTGTGCCGAATTTTTATTTTCGGTGCAGAATTTTTACATGTTTGGTGCAGAATGCCCTCAGGAATAAACTATTGCTTAGAAAAGTTATTGTAATAAGCCTTCTCTCCACCTGAGAGCTGGAAGAAAGTGGGAAAGAACTGAGAGGAACTAAAGGGGCATGCTCCTGTTTGAGTGCCTGTTTGGGGCTGAGTATGGTGTGGCAGTCCTCTCGCCCCTGATGCCTTCGGCAGGTTGCTGACTGACCTTGGTGGGTCTTCTGTGGCTTGGCACTCCAGCCAAGCCACAAAGTCCAAATGAACCCTGCAACGGGGTGCGACTCACCACTGCGGCGCCTCCTGCTGGATGTCCCGGGGATCAGCTAGGCAGTGCACCGTCTTCTGGTGGTGTCTCACCCACTGTCACATCTGCTCCTGGACCCATGTCACCACAAGGACCTCTGGCTGTGTCACACTCAGTTCTCCCCCCTTCCAGGGGAATGGCAGTCCAGCCACTTCCTCAGTGGTTACTGGTGTAAGAGGAGGACTCAGGCCCACCCACTACTCCGGGTCTCGGCTCAGGGACCCTGTGGATGGCAGCCACGTGCTGCGTCCCCTCCCACCCCTGTCTACTTCCCTGGGCCACTTTCCCGCAGCCCCAGCATCTTCTCCACCCTTGTCTCAGGGTCTCAGCACGCCAGTAGTCACTCACTCTCGCTCCCCTGATCCTGCCCAGCACTGCTCTGTCCAAGGTGCTATCTGCCCTCTGCCTGTAAGGCAGCCAGTCCTCCAAGCTCCAGGGAGTGACTGACCTGCTCTGCCCTGCTGC